ACTTGTGAGTTGAGTGACTACGGGTTCAGGCAATCTCACTGAGCCTCAGAGTCTTCACCAGAGGTTGGGTATTCCTCCCAGACCCTCTAAATCCCAGTGAGAAGTGGAGACCACACACATGCTCTTGGCCCTGGATGGCGACCCTTCCTCACATTTCTGCTGGGCCTCAGAAGGCAGAATGGAGGCTGAAGTCACCTGGGTCCAGAAGTTCTTGGGACACTTGCACCTAGCCACACCTGAACTTTTTAGTAGTATAAGCCTATGCAGATGTGTGTGTGTGCATGAATATGTATGTATGTATGTATGTGTATATATAAGTGTGTGTGTTTTGTGTGTGTGTGTGTTTGTGTGTGTGTTTTGTGTGTGTGCATGAATATGTTTGTATGTGTATATATAAGTGTGTATGTATGTAGGGCTGATGAGATGGCTCGGTAGTTAATCTTGCTTGCTGGCCAGGTATGGTGGTGCATGCCTTTAATCCCAGCACTCATGAGGCAGAAGTTGGCAGCTCTCAAGGCCAACCTGGTTTACAGTGTCGAAAAACAAAACAAAGTAAAAAGAGTGCTTGCTGACCTTGTGGAGGATTGGAGCTCAGTGCCCAGAATCCATATCAAGTGTCTCACAATAATGGCAACACCAGATCCAGAGGGTCTGATGCCTTTTTTCTGACCTCTGAAGGAAGCTGCACACAAACAGTTCGTGCACACACACACACACACACACACACACACACACACACACACACAAACTAAATAAATCTTCAAGATGAAATGTAACACAAACTGAAAAGCCACCCTTCTCCACCTTCCCACACCAGCCTTGCAGGCACACACCCCGGTGCCTGGCTTTTTACGTGGGAGCACATGGGTGCTGGGGATCCGAACTCAGGTCCTCACACTTGCTCAGCAGGAACATTACTGACTGAGCCATCTCCCCAGCCTGGGGTTTCATATTTTATGCCAGGATTCTTTTATTTAGTTATTTATATTATTTTTGACTATGTGTATGTGCGTCTACTTGTATGTGGGTGTGTGCACATGAGGTGGCCACAGAGATCAGGAGTATCAGATCCCGTTGCCCTCCCAGGAGCTGGCTGGAACCTAGCTCATGTGAGTGTTGGGAGTTGAACTCAGTCCCTTGGAAAGACAGTCATGCTCATAACCACTGAGCCATCCCTCCCACCCCCTGTGCCAGAACTCTTAAATTAAACCCCCCTTTTTTCTGTACCAGCACATTTTTGGTTCAGAATCTTTAACCAGTGGCCTGGAGAGATGGTCCAGTGGTTAGGAGCACTTGCTGCTCTGGGAGAGAAGCCAAGTTTGGTTCCTAGCACCCATGTCTGGCAGCTCACAACCACCTGTAACTCTAGCTCTGGGGGAATCAATGTTTTTAGGGCACCTGCACTCACATCCATAGCCCCTCCCCCATATACACATGAAAAGTAAAATAAACCTTTAAAAAAAACCAAGAAAAATAAAATTTGAGTCAGTTTAATGCCTCTTTCCCGGGGCTCCTCTAATGGAGAGGAGGAGAGGCTGTTTCTAGAGCAAACAGGGGAAAAAAAAAAAAAAAAGCAAGGGACCTAGAGAATGTTACTTGAAGCTCCTGGTCCTGGTTCAGCAGTCTTAAAAGCCAGGGTCCCTTCTGGAATTTTCTGGATAGGGGTCACTAAATTTCTTTACACACATCCCGTGCACTGCCAAGATGGATTAACGATGTTTCTGTCCTGGGATAGAGAGAGGCCTGCTATCTATCAGGCCTGTTGGACAATCGCATAAGACAGGTATGGGCGGGCGCCCTGGGCGGGGCAGGCCAGGCACTGGATGGCTGTTCAGTGGCTCTGGGATATGTGGATGGATTTGATCGGATGTTCATTAAAGCTCCAGTTTAATTAATTCCAAAGGCTTTAAGAAATCATGTGCCCAAGTAGGTGAGTCTCTCTCGAACTGCCAGGAAACTCCGAGCTGGCAGCTGACTCATCCAAGTAGAGTTTTCCGGGAGCTTTGGTTTGGTAAGCTGCTCCTGGCTGCTTCTGAGTTCTCCAGCTCTCAGTTCCCTGCTGGCTTACAACAGAATGTGTTTGCACTCTGTGGTTCGACGCCACACGTTTGCCAGACCGTTTTCCTAGCTTTGTGTCTTTATCGCCAGTCTGTCTGAAGGCCCCTTCTTTCCCAGGCTTACGTCTCTCTTCCTTCCCACGAGAGGAACCCATCTCAGAAGCAGGTGGATGGCTGGCAAGGTGGCTCAGTGTGTAGAGGCGCCTGCTGCCAAACATGATGACTCCCGGGTTTGATCCCTGGGACAACCAGGGTAGAGAGAGAGAGCCGACTCCCACCAACAGTCCTTTGACCTACACATGTGCACCCACTCACCCACAAAGTGAATAAGTAGGTGTAAAAATTTAAAAATAAGGTGGAGCGTGGTAAGGGAAGACACTTAACGTTGACCTCTGGCCTCTATACAGATGTGCATGTACACAGAGAGAGAAGGGGAGGAAGAAGGAGAAGGAGAGGAAGAAGGAGAAGGAGAGGAAGAAGGAGGGAGGGAGGAAAGGAGGGAGGGAGGGAGGTGAGCTTTCAGAGAATGAAGCCAAGTTATCTGAGAGCTCCCCCCCCCCCCCCCCCCCCGCCCAGGCGTGTGGCAAAGCCATATCAAGGCTGCCGAAGCACCTGAATTCTTTGGTGATGTGGGAGATAAAGAGAGGGCTGTGGTAGCTCACAGCCATTCACCTTCTGCCAGCCAGCCCCAACTGGGTTCACCTGGGACCGTGATGGCCAAGTCTACTCCTGGCATCTCCCGGAATCTGACTCCTAACACGTTGCTGAGGAGAGACATCAAGACCAGAGGTCACTGTGAAGAGACTCACAGTGACTGTTTTGTGAACTCTGACTTTCTGCAACTGGTGTGAGCAACCTTGTAGAGACACGCAGAAACCTACGTGAAAAGATCAGCCGGGAGCCTGTAAGGACAGTCTGTCCCTAACAATCAGCCATTGCCCTGATCACTGGCGCTTGGGATTAGCTGTGTGTGCATGTGTGGACATGTGTATGCATGTATGAGCATGTGTGTGGAGGACAGAGGTCAACACGTGGTGCCTTGCGGTTTCACTCTCTACCTTCCTTTTCTGAGATCTCTCACTGAACCTGGAGCTTGCCGATTTATCTAGATTGACCTGCCGTGGAGCAGGATCCTCCTGCCTCTGCCACCCCAGGCCTGGGATCCCAGGCACACCTCGCTATGCCTGGCTTCTGACACGGGTGCTGGAGACCTGGATTTATTAAAGCAAGAACTTTGCCAACTGAGCTGCTGTGTGTTAACATATGCCCACTTCTCCTTCCCTGTCTTGTGCTCAGATGCATGCCACCACTCCTGAAGTCTGGGCACGGGTGGCCTACGGTCCTGTGGCTGCCAGGTGGCAGAGCTACTTCCCTGAGGCTCACTCTTGATCTTCCCCTTGCTCTGTCCGACAGCGGAGGCCCTCTTCTTGTCTGTCTTCGCAGCGTTACTGGGTGGCAGGAAGTACAAGAGGCACTGAGTGCTGTCTGCCCTGTATCCCTCCTCCACTCCACCCGTCTCCGGGTCACGTGCTGGTGAGAAGTCCAGCTTAGTAACAGCCTCGCGGACAGGCAGCACCTTAATTGGAGCTGTTCCGTGGTGGAGAATGACTTCGCTCTTGGCTTTCAGGGAGAAAAATCTGCAGTGTTTGGAGAGTCCTGCCTTTGTGAACCACCCAGAAAGAAGGTGGCTTGGGAGAACTGCAGGAGACCTGTCGTGCACCTGCGGCCACCACTGCCCAGCCCCTCTGCAGCTCACTTTAATAATTGAACAGCGGAGGAGGGTGGAGAAAAGGGTGGGCCTCCGTGGTTTCCATCCACTTAGTCCTCTTGCTTCTTCTCCATTAGCGCAGAGTAGGGGTCTGGGGAAGAGCAGAGGAGCACCTGGGCTAAGGGATCATGGGGTAGCAGAGAAAAGCCTCCTCTTCCACAAGACTTCGATGCTCTGCAGAGAATCACCCCACCCTCCACTTCAGCATCCCCAGGGTGGGTGCTGTCTGTACACAGGCCATAAGTTATGAATCTCAAGTTGGACCCAGGTGGGGAGGCCCCTTGTGGGGGCCTAGCTCACTCCCAGGGGTTTCAGGTGTGAGGACTGGGGGGGAGGCTCTTAAGGAAAGACTTCGCAGGAATGGGGATTGACTGAGCTCTGGGGAGCCAGGAGACTCTAGGTGGCCCCTCAGCCAGGCACCCCAGGACCCCGAGAAGTTTCTCCCCACACGACACTGAGATCATTAGTATTTTTCCTGAGCTGTGGTACTTGCCCATTCTCGGTGCTCTATCGCAAGGGTGGAGGCCACAGACTCCCACCCCTTGTCTCTAGGATTCTCTGAGCAGGAATGGGGAGGGGCACAGGGCAGTAGACAGCCTCATCCAGGCACAGGTGAGGGGCAGGTGGCCTTGCATACCTGAAGCTCCTGGCGTCACCTGCTCTGTCCCACCATGAAAGACCTCCTTGTTTAGAGGAGAATAGGTAGCTTGTGGCCTAGAGAGAATAGATCAGTGTGGCTGGGATGATGGACCATCAGGGACATGACCTTGGGGAGTTAGCTGCTACCCTCAAGAGTTAGTGCTACAGTCCCTGCCCTGGGATTGTGTGGCCTAGACTAAAACTCAGTGGACTCAGGGTGTGTGGCTAGCATGTCTAGCACTGGGTGGGCATGCTGCTCACTCCTTCCCTGCCCGCCTGCCCTCCTTGGCTCCCTGTGAAGGAATGCAGCTCCATTGGTGACACATCCTTACAGACCACAGAAGCCTAGGTGTAGACGGAGTCAGGTAGAGCAGAAGGCAGCCCAGAGGTGTGGCCAGACAATCGGGAGGTCCCAGAGCAAGAGCAAAGGCCACCCACCCTGGACTCCAGCTGCCCTTGGCTGGCCTTACTGTGGGACATGGAGATACAGAGAAGACACTGGGCAATGAACCTGCTTCCTTGTTGCAAGATTTTAAAATGTGTATTGATATATACTTTATTATCTGTTATAAAACTTCCTTTGGCTACACAGGCCACTGTGCTGGATGACGAATGACACCATGGTGGCAGCTCCCAGGGGGCCAGGATGGAACCAGATCCACTTTGAAATGGGCACTGGAGTTTGGGGACTTAGTAGGGAGCTGCCACAATGGACCACAGTGGCCTGAAAGACACCAAGTGCGTGGTCAGCTGCCCAGAGCTGGCTGGGGGTGTCAGAAAAGCAGTCAGCTACCCAGAGAGGCAAAAGGTCCTTCCTGTCTCACATGGCTTGCCAGGGCCAAGTCCTACCCCGTTCAAGTCACCAGCTGACTCATCAAAGGGACAGGGACTTGTCTGCAGGCTACGAGGCAGGTGGACAGGCCCCTCTTCCAGATAGCACCATTCTCTCGGGTTAATTCAGACGCTGTCTTGGGAGGCTGGACGACTCCTTGCAGGTAGAGCTGAGGCTGCTGTCCCCGTAGGGGTGACGGTGACTGAGTCACGTTTGAGGAGGGATGACTGAAGAGGCAGATGGCCTCCTGCTCACCTCCACTGAGGAACTTCTGTTGAGGAGGGACCCCACCACACTGGTAAGAGCAACTTTGGTACAATGAGTCACAGAAGCAGAATGGCTGGGGAGCAGAGGCCACAGGGTCTGTCCACAGGTGGCTGCTCAGTCTCTGGGCCACGCCTGGCAAGAGGCAGATGCCTTGTGCTAGAGGCAGCTCTTCTCCCCGGTGGCACAGGGGCAGGTGCCCTGCTTCTTCTGCTCTTGGGCAGAGTGTCTCTGGAAGCTACTGGCCGCTCTCTGCTGCAGCCTTGCCCCAGACCCTGGCCTCTCATGATGCATTGCCAGAGGGGCACTGCATCTCCATAGTGACTGTGTTAGGTGTGCTGCTAGCTGTATCCCCTGGCTCGGCACCATCCCGTAGAGCCCGTTGGAAGACTACCCTGAGAGGTTCCCACAGGCGCTGAGACTTGTCCCTCCCAGCCAGGAAGTAGACGACGGGCTTGGCGCTGCTATTGATGCAGATACACAAGTCAGTGACGTACTCAGGGAAGGGGGCCGGGATCTGGAAGACCCAGAAGAGGAACCAATCGATTCCCAAGTAGATGGAGGACACAAGGAAGACAGAGACAATAGCCAGGACCACATGGTTGAGCTTGGCAGAGCGCTGGCGGCGCCGTGCCCGGCACTCCACATGCAGGATGAGTGCCAGGCAGGGGAGTACCATGAGTGGGCAGAAGAGAAAGAACAGCAAGATGCCCAAGGAGATGTCCATGTTGCGGCAGGCTGTCCCTGAGGCCTCTCGGCCCAGGAACATGCAGAAGTAGTTGTGGATGCTGGTAACCAGGAAGGACAGCAGCCAGAGCAGGGCACAGACTCCAGCAGACAGGCGCTTGGGCCTCTGACGCCAGTACCAGGTGGGAAAGACGACGGACACGCAGCGTTCGGTGCTAATGGCCGGCAGGAGGCTCACACCTGCGAAGAACGTGCAGAGCCCCACGATCCGGGACACCCTGCGCACATAGTCAGGGAAGGACCCCAGGAAGGCCCCCGTGTTCAGGAGGGCAATCACAGCCTTGCTGAAGAGGTAGACCCCATCAGCGCTGGCCAGGTGCAGGAAGTAGATGGAGAAGGGCGTCCTCTTGATGGAGAAGCCGAAAAACCAGAGGACCAGGCCGTTACCCACCAGGCCACACAGGCAAAGCAGCAGGAAGATGTAGTTTGTGATGGCGGGCGGAGGGGGCGTGGCTATCTGCTCGATGGTCAGGAAGCCTCTGCTGTAGAACTCCGGAGCCTCGCTCATACCAGGACACATCTGTGTAGGTGCAGAGGGGACACATCTGTAAGGCTGTCTGCCCTTCCCTGGCCCTCGGCAGGCCTGTTCCTGTACCTGCTTCCATCAGTTACCCAGGAGGCAGCATCTGGCCAGAGCAGAAAGAGCCCCGATACCTGCTGATGCTAACACTGGTTCTCAGATTCTAGAGCCTGCAGGACGGCATCACCACAGGATGACCAGACAGCAACTCTGGGCTGCCCACAGGTCCACCGGGTTCAAACGTCCAAGACGACAGAAAGCAGAGGGATGGGGAGATGGCTCAGTGCATAAAGTGCTTGCTGAGCACTCCTGAGGACCAGAGTTCTGATCCCCAGTCTCCCTGTAAATGCAGGTGGGCCCAGTGACCTTCCTGTAACTTGAAAGGGGATTTCCCAGAGCAAGCTGGTGAGATTGCTTACCTCAGCCGGCTGTGGTTTTAATTGAGAGACCTAGACTCAGTGAATAAAGTGTGATTAAGAGACTCTGGGTGTCAACCTTAGGCCTCCACATGCACCAATACACATGTGCCCATACACATTTGAGCACACATTCACACAGACTCACACACATTCTCTCATGCACAACACTCCCCCCACACACCAAATACACTCAGACACCACTCTTAGACACTCACACACACCACACATACACACACTGACATACCCACAGATCCACCCATCCACTCCCATAAGATTCATACCACATACACCCATACACACACACACCACACACTCACTCACACACCACACACACTCATTCTACACACACACCACACACACTCATTCTACACACACACCACACACACTCATACAACACTCACACACATACACACACTCACATGCATACCACACACACCACACACATACACACACCACACATTCATACACATCACACACTCATACACACACCACACATTCATACACACCAGACACTCACACACACTCATATACACACCACACACTTACACACACCACACACCACACTCATACACACACCACACACACACCACACACTCACACACATCACATACACATACACACACACACTCATACACTCACACATACTCACACACACCACACACACACACACTTTTTAAAAAAGGACTGGAGATAAAGCTTGGTAGCAATGCTTGCCCAGCATGTGGGAGCCTGGGGTTCAATCCCCAGTACTAAATAATGACCCATGGAGGGGATGGTAGATGTGTGCACAGTCTGTTCTTGTAATTTTCTAGCAAACTGTTCATATAATGTTTCAACTTTAAAACATGAAAATACTTATTTCTAAAGAAATAAAATTACTGGTAAGGAGTAGGGGTGGGGAAAAACAAAAGACCTTGGCCACAGCTGGACCAGAGGACACTGGGGCTGAGAGTCAGCTGCCCTCTGCTGGACCAGGGCTGCCTTTGGGGGTCCCAAGGGTATCCAGGAGGGGAGAGGCTTGAGGTGGTGGTCATTCTTCAGGCTCAGGGAGGGGCTCAGCATTTTATAACCGGGCAGGGTAGAGGAGCTCAGCCCGGCTGAATACCAGTCCTGGCCCTGAGGGCTGAGCTGGTACATAAATGCATGAAGCTGGGTCAGGTCTCAGAAACTGGGAGCAGAGACACCGTTGCAAAACCAAGGACACGCCTTCCTAGCAAAGTAAGTGGCCTCTCTACTCTAGCCAGAGGGTATGGAGGACGTGTGGGTGGAGCGATAGTACCTCCCTTCAATTCCAGAGAAGCCATATCTATACATGGCAACATGAAAGAGTTTGATATTTCTGGGTTCACATGTTAAAACAACTGTGTGAGCCAATAATGTGAGCCAGTGACACACTATTGTGTTCTCAAGGTTGTCTTGATCCCTCCTTTTTAGTGACAAAGGTTGCCCTATGCACATTGCTGCCCTTCCCTCCTCCCTGCAGACATCACTAATCTATCCCAGGACTCTCTCCTTAAGTCTGATAATTGTTTTCATGGTTCAGGGAAGTAGGAAGGTTTTAGGGGCAAGATCTTTCCTACCACCTTTCAAATGGCCTCGGCAGAAAGCTGGGCCCTGAGAAAATGCTTTGTGTGGACATTCTCTAATGCAGAGAAGTAACCTCTGGCCTGGCTGTGTCAAGAGAAGTTTACAAACAGGAACTAATGGTGCTGGCTAAACTCAGGGAGACACTGTATTGTCAGGACAAGTTCTTTGTGGGGTTCTGCTTTCTACCTGTCCACCTCTAAGAATTTATTGGCTAACATCTCCTGTCCACCCCTAAACCTGCTTAGCTTTCTCTCTGCTCCCCTTCCTTGGAGTTGATCTGTTGTTGCTCCAGGCCTCCGAGGGCCGACTCAGTGATGGAGAATCTCAGCTCAGATGCAGAACTCTGTCCCATGAGGACCAGCTCAGCACTGGGCGCTGGCCTTCTGGTCTGGGCAGAGTCCTCTGTGTATCACCCAACTGGAAAAAGTCTACAGTCCCCCACTGGGTGTTGGGGGGGGCACTGGTGAGTCACTGGGTGGGAGCTACTATTTACAGCCCCACACTACCTTGTGAAACACCACTCTGCAGCCTGCTCCCTCCCAGGACCTTATCTCCCTCTTCTCTAGGGACTTTGAGATGCCCCCTAGCATGCCCAGCCACTGCCTCCCGGGCTGCCATCATTCCACAGTGCTTCCCTAGGGGAAAGAAGGAAAGGACCAAGGACATGGCGGGGGTAGGGGGTGGGAGGGTGGGAGATGAGGAGGGGGTTGGAGTCAGTTATCCTGACATAAGCCTTGAGTTTCTCAAGTCTAGGGGAGGCTGGGATAAGGAAATAAACCAGAGGGGTTCCCTGCTTAAGAAGGGAAGTCCACACTTTTCCAGGGAGAAGCAAGGTCCAGCCCAGGCCATTATCCAAGCTTTAGGTGGGGCTAGTGCCAGCTGCAGATTTACATTCATGGTTCATGCTCCCAGACTTGGGGCAACACTTGCCTTGGGTGGCCCAGAATGGTACACACAACAGATATGGGGCCACCATGGAACCAGCAGAGGCTCTCTCTGCAACAGTAACGATCGTCCCATCTCTGCAGGGAAAGGGGGAGGGTGTGAAACCTTTCAAAGCTGGTAAACCATGACCCAAGGACAGCATGGAAAGGGACTTCCAGGATGCCTGGTGCCTGTGTTTGCCTCACTGATGATGACACTGACCTCAGAGGAACCAGTTAACCAGGGCCAGGCCATAGAGCCCAGATGTGCTTGCTGACCACTAGAACCCAGGGCTGGAGGGCGGGCCTGGAAAGTGGGCTGTGTCGTCCCTCCCAACTATATATACCCTCCACAGACCAAGGACCTCCTGTCTGTGGCACTTGCCTTGTTCTGGTTGGTAGCGTGAGCCTCCCATGAGCAGTTTCCGGCCATCTTCAAGACTTCGGAGTCCAGGCTCCTGTTGGGAGCTCACAAACCTACGTCCCTGCCTGGCAAGAGCCTAGAGAGAGGGTAGAGTAAAGTCAACACCCATCCCCTCAAGAGCCTCTCTACCTCCCAGCCCACCAGCCCTAGCTCCCTAGGCCTTCAGGTCTGTTCTCACCTCTGAGGAAGGGCTACCCTGGCTCCCTCTGAGGTGGGGACTCGATGCCTGTCCTGCCCGCCCGCCCCTCCTGCCTGTGGGCTCATGTTCACACCCTTCCTGGCTCCTGGAGCACCACTGCCACTCCCCGGAGAAGATGCTCTCTCCTTTCTCTTCTCATTGGACTGCAAGGTGTCTGGGCCAGAATGTTTCTAGTAACTTTGATGATGGGTTTCCTTGCATGCACGCCTGGAGCACCTCCTTTGTGTTCTGCTACGAGGCCTTGCAATCACTCCTAGAAATGGGTGATGGGGGCAGATTCTCTCTGGGAGAGGGGCTTCCTGGAGGAGGAGGCTTTTGTCTGGGTCTTGCTTTATCATGGTCCTCACCCTAACTCTGGGGTGGGTGTCCATTCCTCCTTTTTGTAAAAGACAGGGTCTCACACAACCCAGGCTGGCCTTGAAGATGACCTTGAATTTCTGATCCTCTTGCCTCCATCTCTTCAGTGCTGGGATTACAGGCTGAACCACCATAGCTGGTTTATGTGGTGCTGCGACTCCAACCGGGGGCTTTGTGCATGCTAGGCAAGCGTCTACCAATGGAGCCACATCCCTAGCCCTTCATTCTTTTTTAATGGTGCGCTTAGTACCAGAGACACACTCCTAACCAGGGGCACATGATGAAACTTTGAAGATCTGTGTACTTCCAAGACTCGGTGGATGTCCCCTGGAAGGTTCACTTGGAGGAAGCAAACCAAGAGTTTGTTGTGGTGGCCCTGGGTTCCAGACTGGATGTAGAGAAGCAAGGCTCAGCCTCATTCGGCCAATCTGGAGGCCTGGGGGGGTGTTGGTGACAAGCGAGGGCGGGGGACCCTGCTTGAGACTGGTCCACCCTAGCTGGCAACACTCTGGGTCTCCTGGAATTACGCCCCATCCCCAGCCTGCACTCTGTCCTACAGGCAAGCACCTACCCCTCCCACAGAGCAGGTGGGACGTCTGAGGCTGTGACTCAGGACACAGCCCGGCTACAGGCTGCCAGACCCTCCTCTCCCAGAGCCGGGATGTGGGTAGCGCACTGCTCCACTCCTCATAAATTCCTTCCTCGAGCAGGGCGGATCCCCAGCATGGCCACTGCCTCCTCCCTCCTGGATATGTGGCCCAGGCAGTTGCGCCCACCATTGGCTGCCGGGAGTGTGAGTGTCCCGTCCTCTCGCTCGAGTGACGGTGACGTGCCTCCTCTTTAACTTTGGGCCGCTTTGCTTCTCTGGGGGCCAAGGAGCCGGGTGGGCTCTTAAGCCACACCCCCAGCCCCTCATTCCTATTGGAAGGTGTACAGAGGCACGCTCCTAACCAGGGTTCACAGAGCCCCTTCCGGGCCCTGGCTATCCCGCCGGCCCTCTACATGTATGCTCCTTCTGGTGCGTTTGTACCCCGACTAACAGTGGCTACTCGTGGGGCCTGCTCGCGAGTCCCAAGTGGCAGCACCGTATAAGTAGGCATGAGTGGTGTTTGTGCAGAGAGCTTGCAGACTGCCCCCTCCCACCCAGGCGTCATTCCGTTGCTATGCAATGGGGCTAGCCCAGGTTTTCCCGGTACCCGCACCTCCGGAGGTAAGCATCCACTGCACCTTCCCTTGCTGTCACTCTTCCAGACACCTGCTACTCCCAACTTTCTCCCCAGTGATGCTCTAACTCAGGGGACGTTTCATCCCACCAGGCTTAAAGCTAACTAGACACATGCCCTCTGGGACAGGTGACTGCTTTGATCACTATATCTGGTCCCTCTCCTACCCCAGATCATTTGCAAAGTGATTCACTCATGCAGAGAGATCCAGAAAGCCAAGTGGACCCCAGATGGGCCATATTAAAGACATGTGTGCAACGTGTACAGGGATGCATTGAGTGCATGTGCTCTAGCCAGAATCTGAGCCGGGACAGAACCGACTTCACTAAAGCCGAAAGGCTACCATGTCTGTACCCTTGGTCCCTCCCCTCAAAACAGCCTGGTGGTTCACCTACCCACCTGCTTGGACTGATGGATGGACAGACCAGCCCTAAAGTAGCTCCCCAACTCATTTCACTTCTTCTAAACCCTAACCCAGCCTCTCCCCTCATTCCTTAGCTATGGCTTGGTCTGTGCACTGGCCATGGGCGGGGGCAGTCTGCTGCTGTCCTCAGATACATAGAAAGCCTGTGTTTCCGCCTAGGACTCAGGTCCCTGCTCACAACTTGACAGAAGAGGCTTCTCTACAGGGAATGGAGGTTTGGCAGACCTCTGGCAAACAGCTTCGTCTGAAGGCAACAACAGCACCAGGCCTGGCTGGAGCAGGAGAAGGTGAGACAGTCATCTGCCCCCAAAGAGCTGTCCACTGCTGCCCTCATGACCAGCAGCATGCCTGAGAGCAATGGGAACCAGAGCTCCATACTTGAACCATCGCCCACTGGGTGTTCCCTTCAAACCCTTCCAGAAACTAGGCTGGGATGTAAGGTTGAAGGAAGGATGGGGAGCCCCCCACCCTCAGGGGGACAGGATGGGAGCTGGTATTGGAGGATGTCTTGAGGCTAGGGGTAAGGCCAGCTGAGTGGGTGTCAGGGGATGCCACACAAGAGGGGAGCTCTTAAAGCCTTCCAATATCCCTGGGACACTCAGAGCTGTGGAAGGGGTGGGACAGGTCTTCAGAATGGGGACAGCTTCACTCCAGGTCCCTGCTCAGAGAGATGGGACTTCTGCAAGCTGCCGGTCATGACGATGCCCATTTCCCTGCCTTGAGGATGCCAATCTCGTTTGCCTGCCCTGCTTCACCTCCACCCTGCAGCCCCTGTCCCCAGTCTCCCTCCCCCAGTCCCTGGGTCCCAGAGTGCTACCTGTGGCTGTCCTGATCCTCCGAGGCCTTCCCTTTGCAGAGATCTCCTCCCAGCACTCCGAGCTTGCTGACCCACGGGGCAGCAGGCTGACCAAGTGCTGCCTGGAGCCTTGGAAAATTTGGGCTCAGGGTGGAGGATGAGCCCTCACCCGCCTGGCCTGTTGGAGATGGCTTTGGAAACAGAACCCGCCCCAAACCCAATTCCAGGCCCAGCAGAAGGGGGAAGGGAGGGCAGGAGGAGGAGAAAGAGGAGGAGGAGGAGCAGGAGGAGAAGGAGGAGGAGGAAGAGGAGGAGTGTCTGAACAGTGATGAGGCTTGAGGAAGGAAAGCCCAGTTCAGGAGCCTCCCCCATCCCCACTGGGAACTCATCTCTGCCTGGTGACGTCACGCTGGCCTGAGCACTGGGGCTGGAGTCCAGATGTTAATACCTCCCATATCCTGCAGCTTCAGAGGGTTGCCCCAGCAGAGGGAGCTCCGAGTTGTTCACTCGCCTGGGGCCTTTGGCCTGCTTCCAGTGGGCATTTCAGGGCATGTAGTGGTGGGGGTGGGGGGTGTAGGGGAATGTCCACTCCCTTGTTTGAACTGACTCAAAGCCTGGCACTGAGAAGCCAGGAAGCAGCAAGCGAGGGACCCCCATGGAGAGTGGTGGAGAATTGGCAGAGAGAAGGTCACACAACCCAGATGGCACCAACTCCCCCCTTGCTACCCCAGAGTCTTCCTGGGGGCCTCCTGGGGCCTATGGAACCAGGAATTCCCTTCTCTCTAGCCCTAACAACAATCAGATGTCGCAAATGGAAAATCACAGCCCTTGCTCACTTGGGCTGAGCAGGGAAGTTGGCAAGCTACCCTGCCTGGTGCGTGCGCTCCTCAGTGAAGATGAGTCAGCCTCCCCCAGAGAGGGGGTCCTGGAAAAAGTTAGTGGCCAGGGCACGGAGCCCAAGCCTGGGTGGGTATGGAGGGAACAGAGGGTTGACCATGAGGGTGGGGTGCTGAGGCCTCCTTCTGCCCTGGGCCAACTTTCTCATGACCCAAGAAGCCTGAGGAATGAGTGCCACACTTTCCTATGGGAGTGAGCAGCGCTGAGACTGGGCGAAGTGTGCCTTGTGGGCATCTTGCAGTGAGCCCAGAAATAGACCTCTCTCTGCACCTGCACTGGAGCCTCCTCCTCCTGCCCATGGAGAAGTCACTCTGTCCCTTGGACCAAACAAGCCTGAGAGCAGGGAGCCTTGGAGGGTGGCCCGCTTGGGGCCAGCTGGCTTCCTGGGACTTGGTGGGGGGAGCAGGGATCTTCTGGGATTCTGGAGGCCGAGAGAGGCTGGGCAGGCAGCAGGGAGGATGGTGACCCAGCCTCCTCCTCCAGGGCAGGCAGCTGTGTCCCAGCTGGGCTACTTGTTTACACTGAGAGGCTGGGGGAGGCTGAATCCCAGCACCGTCCAAGTATAATTGCGCTTGGACACTTAAAAGGAATTGTGTGAAGTGGGCAGAGGCTGTGGAGTCCGCGGCCTTATTTGGTATGGAAATATGTTTCTTTGACAAACAAGAGAAGAGGTGCTTGCTAGAGGGAGCTTGTCTTACCCTGAGTTTGCAGAGTCCCCGAGCCACTGACCCTGTCCACTGGGGCTGCTGTGGACCCACAGAAGCCGTGACCCCCGTTCATGAGCTCCTGGAGTTCCTTCTTCAAGTGCTGCAGGCTGGACAGTCTGGCAAGAGCATTGCAGACTGGCGTTGCTCACATCATCCCAGGATCACATATATACCTTCTGCCTCATGTTACGAGGGACCGTCAGCTCTCTGGGATCCTTTCCATGAGGACATCCATCCCCTTCAGGAAGGTTCCATGTTTATAACCTAGTTACCTCCAAAAGACCCCAAGTCCTATCACCACCTCCCTTGGGGTGACCATTTTAGCATGAGTTTTGAGGGGGACACAGACAAGCAGTCTACAGCAATCACTTGTGTCTCCCTGTAGAAATGAGTGTGAGGCTGTGTGGGGAGGAGACCCAGAGGCTGAGTTCCAATGGGGACAGTAGAGAGGACCTTGCCTCATGTGGGAGTCCCATGGCTGCTTCCAGTCATGAAAGACCCTGGGAACGTCACATCTTACTTTGGAACTTTGTTTTCTTCTGGGGTGGCAGTGAGGGGTTGGATACCTGGGAGGACCACCCTCATTGGACCTCAAACATTCTGTGCCTGGACTGGAGAGACGGCTCAGAAGTTAAGGGCACTGGCTGTTCTTCCAGAGGTCCTGAGTTCAATTCCCAGCAACCACATGGTGGCTCTCAACCACCTATAATGAGATCTGGCGTCCTCTTCTGGAGTGCAGGCATACATGAAAGCAGAACACTGTATACATAATAAATAAACCTTTTTAAAAAGTTGCCTTTGGTCATAGTGTTTAAAACAAATTCATTCATTCTCTCTCTCTCTCCTCACTCCCTTCCCCTGCTTTATTATAAAAAAAAGAAATTCTGTGCCCTGGGCTTAGGTGTGACTGACATCATTTGCTCACTCATCAGGGCTCAGGGCACAGACTTGAGGTAAACAGAATGGGGCTGGCAGACATGGTTTTTGCTCTTTGTGGTGATACATTGTGCACCTCAATAAAACTTAGTTGGGGATCAGAGGACAGAGCCAGCCACCAGATTAGACATAGAGGCCAGACAGTGATGGCACACACCCTTAACCTATCACTCAGGAGATAGAGATCCATTTGGATCTCTGTGAGTTCAAGGCCACAGTGGAAACAGAGCCAGGCAGTGGTGGCACACACCTTTAATTCCAGTGCTGGGAAGCACACATGCCTTTAGTCCCAGGAAGTGATGTCTGGTCAGAGAAAGGTATATAAGGCGTGAGGAGACAGGAACTCACTCTTGAGGCTGAGGATTTTGTAGAAGAACGAGGCTGGCTTGTTCTGTTTCTCTCGTCTTTCAGCTTTCACCCCAATATCCGGCTCCAGTTATTTATGTTATTAATAAGATCATTTAGCAATTCATGTTACAGTTCTTTGTAAAAATTTATTGTAGGGCTGGGGAGATGGCTCAGAGGTTAAGAGCACTGACTGCTCTTCCAGAGGTCCTGAGTTCAATTCCCAGCAACCACATGGTGGCTCACAACCATCTGTAATGAGATCTGGTGCCCTCTTCTGGCCTGCAGTCATACATGCTGTATACAAAATAAATAAATAAATCTTTAAAAAAAAAAGATATTATTTAAAAAAATTATTGTAGCCCAGCAGTGGTGGCACACGCCTTTAGTCCCAGCACTTAGGAGGCAGAGCTGGCAGATCTCAGTGAGTTTGAGGCCAGCTTGATCTACAAAGTGAGTTCCAGGACAGCCAGGACTGTTACACAGAGAAACCCTGTCTTGAAACACCCCCCCCCCCCCCCCCCCCCCCCCCCCGCTGAACAAGATAGCTGAGACCCCTGCCCTTAGAATGAGCTGAGTGGGTATGGAGGCTGGTCACAGCCGGATACCCAGGAATGTGAATGTGCCATACAGAAGCAATGGGGCAAGGCCCTCGGGACGTGGATGGTCTTTTGAGGCACAGTACTGGGACCAGGGAAAGTTGAGCGTATTTGTGCTACATCCCTTTTGATGGTGATGGGCTGGTTCAGGTGGGGTCTGTGTTGAATGCCCTCTTCTCTTGACTTAACCCTGGAAGAGCTAAGGTTCTCCTGGGGAGAGCCCCCTCCTCTGTCTCCTAGCACGGCCCTTGAAGCCCTTTGTTTTCAAGCCTTAAGATTGAAAGTCCTCTCCCAGGTCACTCTGGCTTTCCTGGTTTTGAGAGGGTGTGGGATGTCCTTCTGCAGTGAGGTTGGCTGTCCAGTGAAGAAAAGTGCAGCTTAGGAAATCCAGAAGCCTCTGTTCCCTTCTGTCCTCCATGTGAGAGACCATTATTTCACTTGTTCATTTGTCTGTCTATCCATCCACCCGCCCGTCCATTCATCCATTTATCCATCCATCCATTCACCCACCCATCCATCCATCCATCCATCCATCTATCCATCCATCCATCCATCCGTCCATCCATCCATCATCCATCCACTAACATATTCACTCTTTCACCTGTCCTTCCTCCCATCCATTGCTTCTTGTATTCACAGACTCACCCATCCTTCTACCCACACATTTATCTACTCACCCTTCTGTCCATCTGTACACTATTGCATTTGTTAATTTTTTTGTTGCTTTGATAAAACACCATGATCAAGGCAACTTATAGAAGTGTGGTAGTTTGAATGTAATTGGCTCCCATAATATTATAGGGACTGGCACAATTAGGAAGTGTGGCCTTGTTGAAGCAGGTGTGATCTTGTTGGAGGAGGTGTGTCACTGTGGGGGTGGGCTTTGAGGTCTCATATATGCTCAAGATATATCCCAGTGTCTCAGACCACTTCTTGTTGCCTGCAAGATGTAGGACTCTCAGCTCCTTCTCCAGCACCGTGTCTGCCTGCATGCTGCCATGTCCCACCATGATGGTAATGGATTGAACCTCTGAAACTGTAAGCTGCCACCCCAATTAAATGTTTTCCTTTATAAGAGCTGCCATGTCATGGTGTCTCTTCACAGCAATAGAAACCCTAACTAAGACAAGAAGAAGGAGTTTATTTGGACTTCCAGTTCCCGAAGGTTAGATCCATCCTGGGGGAAGGGAAGGCATGGCAACAATCGGAAGTCATGATGGCAGGAGCAGGAAGCCAGACCTCACACCACTAAACACAAGTGCAAAGCAGAAAGTGAAACTGGGCATGATATGAAACCTTGAACTCTCAAAACCTGTCCTATGATTTGCTTCCTCCAGCAATATGCACCTCCCAAACCTCCCCAAACAGTGCCACCAACTGGAACCAGCTGTTCAAATAACGGGACATTTCTTATTCAAACCACCAAATCTATCATCTGTACACACACACACACACACACACACACACACACACACACACACACACACATACACACACACACACACACACACACACACACACACACACACACACACATCTCTTGCCCATCCACCCACCCACACACTCATCCACTTATCCCTCTGTCTCTCCACCTGCCCATCATCCATCTGTCCATCCATCCATCCATCCATCCACATACTAACACGTTCATCCTTTGCCCATTCATTCTCTAACAGCCCATCAATGGCTGAATTCATACATCCATGCATCAATCCATTTGCTTGTGCACAAATTCATCCATCCATCTGCCCATCTGCCCATGGATTCATTATCAACTACATTTGACTCAATGAACACCAACAATGTTGGTTCTGGGGACAGAACTGTGGAAAACCCAGAAATGAAGAAATGTAATCAGGAGCTTGAACAGAAGGCAAATGAACCAACAGTTCTAACCAGGGGTCTGCGCCATGAGGAAATCAAGCTTGATGATGAAAATTTGTGGA